CAAAGGTGAACAAGCATCTGTTACCGATCATCCAACTTCTTTAAGTGTGGCTTCTCAATTTGGCATAACAGATACATCCAAAGATTCACAAGTGGTTTTTGGACGTTTCCAACGCAGTACTTCATATGGAGTCTGGTCTTCCAAGGATCTTATTGCTATGCGATTTATCAAGTAAGTTGCATGCCTCACGAACCCACCCCATAAATAATTAGGCATGTGCATGTGTTTCAAAATGCTTCTTTCCATCTCCATTAGTGTTCTATTACGTCTCTCCATTACTCCATTCTATTTTTGAGTGTACAGTGCCGTGAGATGCCTTTTGATGCCCTTGTCTTCGCAAAATATATTGAACTCATGAGAGGTGAACTCTCCACCTCGATCAGTCTTGAATGTTGCTATTCTTTCTCCAGTTTCTTGTTCGATTACTTCTCTCATTTTCCTAAAATTTCCAAAGGCTTCACTTTTCTCCTTGAGCAAGCTTATCCACATGTATATTGAGTGGTCATCAATGATCACAGAGATATATTTGTTGCCTCCCAACGTACTTGGATTTATGGAACCACATAGGTCTCTGTGTATCAGCTCTAATGGTCCGATTGCTCTGTATGTTGTTGCCTGAGGGTAAGATTTTCTAGCTTGTTTCCCAAGTAAACATGATGAACATACTTCTTTTGTAACATTGACATTAAATACTCCGCTGACTAGTTACTTTTGTATCATGATCCTCATAGTTGCAGAATTGACATGCCCAAGCCTACCGTGCCACCGATTTGATTCACTTATCTTACTTAAGTGATGTTGTGCTGAATCTTTAAACCTCATTCGTACCTTATAGAGCCGGTTCTTTGATTTGTTTGCCTTTACAAGAAGTTTCCTGTGTTGGTCGTGCATAGTTAGATGTTCTCCTTTCAACTGTATGTCACATCCGTACTTTGTTGCTTAACCAAGCTGAAGATATAGCTTTTTAGCTCAGATATAAAGTACACATCGTTCATCTTCCTTGCTTCTCCCTTCATGTCTACAAAGGAGATAGTCCTTTTCCCTTTGATGTCAATTCTTGAATCGTCACCGAATCTCACTTTTCCAATAATTGTTCTATCAATCTTTGAGAAGTATCTCCTATCACCACTCATGTGATTGCTGGCTCCATTATCTAAGTACCAAACATCCTCTGCATCAGTGTTTGTTTCATACTTCTCATGCAAGCAATTCTTCTCATTGAGATAAACAACTTCATGCACCATTAGCTCATCAGCATCATGTGTGTCATTGTTGTCGTTTTCAAGGGCTTCTTGGAGTTTGAGAAGGCGGTCTGGAAAATATGGGGCAAAATGCCCTAATTTATCACACCGGTAGCACATTATCCTTGATATGTCTCTGCCTTCATTGTATCTTCCCCTGCCTCGCCCTCTGAAATATGACATTCCTGCTCTGCCACGGCCTCTGTAATCTCTGTTATAGTCTCGTTGATCCTTGTACTCTCGATTTTGGTGTGGAACTTGTGCTCGTGAGTCATCGTTGGAGTACATCAGCTTTGGTTGTTCTTCTGGTGATTCCTCATCTTCACGTATCTGCTCCTCATAAGCTTTCATGCGGCCCAAGATATCTTCAAAACTAGTATTATTTAGGTCTAATACTTGTTCTAATGAGGCCACAATATGAATGTACTTTCTCCGTGGGAGACTACACAAGAGTTTCTTTACCATCGTCAGTTCATCAATGTTGACACCTAAGACTGCAGGTTTTGATGAAATTTCTGCTAATTTCCTCCAAAATCATCAACCGACTCTGTGTCCTTCATCTTAAGATTCTCAAAATCGCTCATCAACGTTTGCAGCCTTGCTTCTTTGACTCTCTCAGCCCCGACATGTCTGATTTTTATGGCCTCCCATACTTTCTTGGCGGTATTAAGCTCTCCAAATTGGAGTGTCATCACCTCTGGTATAGATTGAACCAATAATGCCATTGCCATGTCATTCTTCTCGCCTTCGGTTCCTTCGTCTTCAATAACTTCCCAAACTTTGTGCACTTTCAGAATTATCCTCATCTTTATTGCCCACACTGTGTAATTTGTTGAATTCAGCATAGGACATCGTATGGAAGAAGATCCTCCTCCTTCCTTAGATTTCAAGTTTGTCGTCTCAATGATCTCACCACTCATCTCTCCTTAACCTGATTGCTCTAATACCAAATATAGGATTCAAAAGACCAAATAAGTATAACTCACTTATATTAACTTGAGCAACTAACTCAAAACTCAAGCTTTTTAATCTCAAAACCCTATTAAGGTATGTCACACAACGAAATCTACTTATATAGAGCTTGTGTTTATCTTAATCCTATTAGACAACATAATTATAGATAACTCTTAAGAATATTATGTTTCTATCTCCATAATTTGGTAGGATTAGGATAATGCTTTGCACCTTAATCTTCTTTTCTTTTCAAGCTTACTTCAGTAGATACAATGAATCTTACCAAAGATTATACGCCATAGTCCATCCCACAAATCGGATTATTTTCGTGTAAATTTCGTGAAATGACCAGGGTCTCTTACATTACTTGATGTCCTTTTGGAACTTTGACTATAAGATGAAAATGATGATTTTATAAGTATTGTTAACATAGTGGAAGATGGATATATTTCAAAGATTTAGAGCCAGAAAAATTGACAAATGAAAAGTAGATTAGTTAGTCATGCTGGACCAAATTAGCACTGCCTTTCTTCGTCACCATTTAAGAGTCTTCTTTATTATTCTTCGTCTTTCTATCAGTTGTGATATAATTTTGATAGAATAATAACACATATTATATGTTCTTTTTAAAACATAGCATATATCAAGATCATGTTGTTCGAATCAAATATTCGTTTTGTGAATAACTAAATAAAATTATTTTAAATACTTTTTCTCAGTTTTTTTATATTTTTGGTAATTTTAAATTTCATGTGTTATGGTTAATGTGTGATATTCTACCAAATAACTTGTTTGATGACCGGATAAATCATAATTCAAAACGTAAAATTGGTTTCAACACTTGTTCTAAAAATTGGCCACTGGTAGGCGATCCTCTTTCGCCTCGATTTATACCAAATTGCTATAAAAATTTGGTATGTCGCTTAGATAATCGCATAACTGCCTAGACGGTCGCCTTTTTTTAATAATGTTTTTATCTATTTACTTGATCTAAAATTTAATAAATATAACTTATAATCATAATTTTGATAAAAAATATATTATATTAAATTTATATATTCTATTAGTGTGTTTTATAAGCTTCTAAACATGAAAATATATTAATGTTTAATCAATTGATTAACCTTTATACACCTTTCTCATGACCTTTATACACCTTTTTCACGCTCGGGAAGCGTGAAGTTTGTGGGACTAGACACCCACGGGTGGGCCACAATCGAAAAGTTGAAATGTTGGGGCTCTAATAACATGTTAGATTCGGATTTATTATGGACTTCCAGCTTAAAATCAATTGATTATTAGTGGATTGATTTTTACCCTTTATATATTATTTAAAGTTTCATTAAATTTTCGATGTAGGACATATATCCCTAATACATTACACGCATCTCATACGATTTTCGTTGTTAACGGTATGCATTCTATATCAAGTTAAAACCTGTGTGGTGAATGAGTTGGGTGGTAACACATCAATTGCACTAATACAAATTATACATGTTCTTGTACACATGGAGTATATTCATATATATATCCGATCTAATAATGAGAAAGGGAAGGGAAGATAGTACACGTGAAAATAGACTACAGGAGATAGGTTTAGGAGCTAAGTATGTTTATATGTTAGGTTTATTTTGTACCCTCGTGTGCATCTCCCAATTCTATATACCTTCACATCGATCCTTCTTTGTATTTATTCTCTTGTTCTCATTATTTAATCATATATATATCGCAAAAAAAAAAAAGGTTTTGAAAATCTATAATGGAGAACAAGAAAAATCAGACACAGTACTATATAGCACAAAGAGGGGACAAAAGAACATATCAACAATATTATAAGAATCTCACATATATACCTCGCTGGATATCACTATACTGCATGCCTCTGTCATTTTCTGGGACGTGGGCTTCAGTATAAATTAGTTTATAGTTCATTTATATGTTTTCTTGTTTGATAATGTAGTTATATCGATTTCTAGTCAATATTTTGGTACGTCGAATGTAGGTCAAATGAGTGTCCTTCGACAGGAGTGACTCTATCATTGATTTCTTTTTCTGAAGTCATATGTGTATGTGTAAGTAAAAAAAAAGGGTATTATGTGTAAAGTAGTGCTTTTATTATTTAATTGGTTTACGGGGGTGAATAAGCAATGGTTCTTGTACACATATTACTAAAAGCCATTGTCTACATTCTCTGAACAACACAACTCAGTATTATAAAAAAAATCAGACTAGAGCGTGCGTGCGTGCATATTATAATAAGGATTTCTTGGTTATTCGGGTCAAATCCAAAATTATTGTACTAATAACAAAAAGAGAAAGAGTTTTGTTTTCAGCAAAATAAACATAATAAACAAAAAGGAATGTTGAGTGACTGTGAAATGAATCAAAGAGACAAGGAATTAAACAAAAACAAAAGCTAAAGAGCAAAGAGGTCCGACAGTGGCACCGAACCAGACACCGAAGCTAAAACAAAACCCTCAATATCCTGTGGTTCTCTGTTTGGTCTCAATCGCACATTGCTTTAGCATGGAAGCTCACGAGGCACCGTACGTGTGATTGACATGCCTGTGGTTTGGTCCCTTGATGTTTTCTTTGAATCACATATTCGTAGAGCTAAGATTTAACCAAACGCAATTATCATTATCTTGTTCGTAGATTAGGTTATTTCTAAGCTCGGCTCGTAGTGGCCAAAATAATGATTTGACGAGATCAAAACAATATTAGCTAGTAATTTAAGGGAAAAAAAAAATAGCTAGTGATTTAACGAATAGATCATATCATGGGACGTTTAAGGGTGAACCCAATTTTATCTCAAGAACCTCATTATATATTTTAAGACTAAAAAATCCATATGACAATGATAATTTGCATATACATATTAGTCTTTCGGTAATTTACTTTACAATGTACATGAACTAGAAAAAAAAAAGAAACACAAAAGCTGACAAGAATCTTAATATAATATAACCACACTATACTCAATATTATCTCAAGATCTCAAAAGAAATATACTAAGCTCCTGTCCATAACTACCACCAGGATTCATCATATGAAACGATTCCGAGTCACTGGACCCAGTGACTCGCTCAAACCTGGCTCTCAAGTAAAGCGTCTGCTCCTCCTCATCCAACGGCAAAACTCCAGCTCCCACTGAAACAGACTGCATCATCCTCAACAAAACGGCATCGTTCTCCGTCACCTTTCTCCTCACAGCAAACCCCATCTTCCTTCCGTTGCAGTACATAGACCACACAGGAACATCAAAGATCGAGGAAGAACGACTCTGACGACGGTCACACTCGAGGGCTATGCGTAGAACACCTTCTTGATCCATCTCCTTGGCTAGAGCCGCCGTGGGAACAGCTAGCTCAAGGAGGAGAAGCGGCGGAGACCCCACGGTGGCTTCTTGAAGGCAGAAACTGACTCTGCCACGACGGTGGCCGAAGAAAGTTCCACTAACGATGCTGGAGGAAGAGGAAGAGGAGGAGGAGTGGTCTGAAGAGGAAGATGAGGAAGAAGAGGAAGAAACTGAAACCGTGTCGTTTTGGTATGGATGAGAAGGTTGTTGGTAAGTGCAACAGTATGGGAGCATGCATTCGATGAATGAACGGAGAGTTCGTCGGAGCCGGATTTCACGAGCGCAGTCGACGGTGGTTGGAGTGTCTATAATTTGCATGTGGTGGTGATGGTGACGATCTCTTTGCTTTCCTAGATCAACCATCGTTCTCATGGTTATGTATCTCTCTTTTTTATGAGTTAACTTAGTTAAGAGGGAAACTAAAGAAGGGAATATTGTTTTTTTGGTGTGAAGGAGAAGTGGAAGTTTGATGGCATATATGTACAAGTAGGTGGGGGTGGTATGCTCATGGAATGTGGCGACTTTTTTTTTCCTTCACTTAAAATTACTACTATTATAGTATAATGCTTTTATTTGTATGATGATTTAATCTCGTGGTTATTTGTGCATTTAAATCCAACCACAAGATCATCGTGGCTGGAGATGACGAAATATTAACAAGATAGAATCTGGCATGCATTTTAACTTTCTTATATAGAGAAGTATTCTTCATTAGTTTCTTAAACCTACAATTACAGTGAAAGTAAATTAGAAAATTGATCAATTGACAGTATGTGCATTGAACAAGTTTATATTATCAGGGGTAAAATATTATGTTAAGTTTTAATGGGTTCCAACTTAAATTAATCAGAAATAAGTAAATCGACTCATATCTCTTATATATTTATTATGTTTTGTTTTATTTTATATGTGAAAATTTATATTCTTACTCACGCTATTTAAAGATTGAAACACATAATCTATTATTTTATACAAGATTTCAATAATCTTATTATTTTGTTATATAAATCTTATTTATTAGTTTAACAATTTTTATTTTAATTCAGTAAAATAACTTTACAGTTTTTACTGATTAGTAACTTTTTACTGATTAGTAACGAAAAAAAGTTAGGAGCGGATCCAGTGGATTAGAAGGTGTGGCATGTGCCCCACCCTAATTTTTCTTTTGTTAATTGACATTAGTGTGAAGTTTATTTAAGTACATTTATATTAAGTTTTTACTTATAGAAATGGTTATGTGTCCCATACTAAACACCATCTTAGATCCTCCCCTGGGAGAAACCCATCTGAAATTTTAAGAATGGCAGAATTGAAGGTAAAATTTGAACATAAACACAAATTACTGAAGAGGTAAACTTAGAAGATAACTTTTCCACTCAATTTATATAATTTTCACGAAACATATTGTTCCATTGATGGAACTTGACAGAAAAACAAAATATTTTTTAGGTCAACAATGAAGACGCAGAAAATGATTTTATAAGGACTATGAATGTCTGGCAAAGTTTGTCACCGCTACATACTGAATGTAAAACGTTGATATAAATTATATAGTTCATGAAAATCCTACAAAGTCTATTTTATACCAGAGAAAATGTTATCTACATTGAAAAACTAACCGATTTTCACTATTCTTTTTAAAAAATTCAACGAATTAAAGATTCTCAACTTTAGAATCAACATATAGTGAATGTGCACAAAATATATTTTCGGACAAGTTTCAATCAAAATGTTTAAAAAAAAAAAACAGAGGCTACATAAATTTTATAGAGACTTATGTTTATTTAATTTTTCAACAAAAAATTGGGGGATCAATATTTCATTTTGCTTTGTCCAGGATCAATCATACATTCTCATAGTCTATTTTCAGCGATAGTATATGTTGATTTAGTACCATCGATTTGGTTTTCTGAGTTAAAGATCGTGTTTTAAAGTAGAGTAGAATTTTGTTGATACAAAGAAAATATTTTTAAAAAGGGAGAAAAAATATAAGGAGAAGAGAAAATAGTAGGCAATTGAGGAAGAAAGCAGAAGAAGTGTTGACAAAAAAAAAAGCAGAAGAAGTGGGGTCTATGTGTCGTAGTATAAAATAACGTTGGGCTCATTTGTTAATGTAATATCCAATCGGTGCATTTGGAAGGAAGCAAATGGTGCGCGTGCGTCACTCCAAGTGTAACCCCACCGCCACTTGACACTTCCTACCGTTTTTCACTTTTGTAATTTTGATACTCTACATTTTATTTCTTTATAATCAACAACATCAACATGATAATCCATTCATTCAATCATTATTTTTGAATGATTGATAAATAAATTTACGTTCATTTAAAAGATAATATTTTAAAAACATAATAATTTATGACTATAAAGATCACACAGTTAACCAAAATATAGTAAATGCCTCAAGATTAAGCATATACTTATATGCTTTCTCTTTTCATGACTAGAATTTTATAGATGTGTATTTTTTTACCAAGAAAATGTAACATGGAATAATGATGTAGGGCGTGAGGCCTAAGAACAAGCATGCATAGAGCAATGATTAAAACCCAATCATGCTCTGGTATTTTTATAGCATTTTGTAAGATGCTTTATATAATCATCACTTCTAAACTTAACGTATCATGTTATTATCTTTTTTTTCTTCATGAATTTATCTTGATGAACGCAATTATGATATTACATGATTTCTAACCTAATTTGTCAAAAACAAAAGCTCAAAGAATGGTGCCTTGAGAAAGAAAATTCCAAAAATCAGACTCATTATCATTTTAAGCATTATACAAGAATCAGATGCCTACCTTATTATGATATTCATTGAAAGGCTTGCTTTCTATAGGAAACCAAAACATGGTTCATATCAACATGGTCGAATTCGATATTGATGTTCATATAACAATGGAAAAAAGTTTCTTAATGTTGACTATCAAAGCACATGACGGTTTATAGGAAAAGTTCACACACAAATCAAGAAAAATAATAATAAAAAATAATAAATTTAGTGAATCATAGCTTGCAGGGTTATTGGGATGAACCTGAATCAATATTGTTTCGCGGACCCCACACCACATGGTAACCCGCGATTGGTCTACTATTTTGTTTTTCTTTAAAATCAAACAAAAAAAAAAATTTGTGAACCCCTACCCTAGGTTTACTAATGTACATGCTCTAACATGTGGACGTAGTTTAATGTTATAACCAGTAATACAAGATGCCTGCTTACTCCTCTGCTGTGACTTGGAATGTTTTGCGAAGGTGATATAAAAGATTGGACTGGGGCTGTTTGGTTCAGAGGTAACACGCCCAAGCATACATTCACTATGTGGGTGACAATGCAAGATAGACTGCCCACTAGATCTCGTCTGGCCTCATTGGGTATGCAGATATCTCCTATCTGCTGTGTCTGTAATAGCGCAGACGAAAACAAGGGCATGTATTCCATTATGTCAATAGCAGGGAGTTATGGAGGCGAGCACTAGCTCACTTAAGGGAAACCTTTACCTTTTTTGGCTCATGAAACGATCTTACCCGTTTGTGATATACGTAGAGATGATAAAACTTCTTTCATGTTTAAATAAAATTGCATCTTGTTTGATATTTTTTTACGGATTAATGCGAATATATTTGTTATCCACGACAGGCCCGGCCCTGAAAAGCTAAAAAAAAACAAAGACCGGAAGCTTCCCACAAAAAAAATGCCACCAGGTGAGATTTGAACTTGCTACCTATAGAAGAAACACCTACTATTTAACCATCTGAACTATAAAAGTTTTTGTGAAAAAAGGCTGAAAAATTTATTTTATTTTAAGGACCGGAAACAGATGCTTGTAATGCTTCTACCCAGGACCGCTACTGATCCACGAACGAAAATGATGAATATGATAGAAAACCCGTAGCTTATTACATACACAAAAGTAGATTAAAGCATATATGGCATGAGTCTTGCTGGCTTAATAATATTCCATGCAGTCTAATCTCTGAAATACATAATCCAACAAGGCAGATTGTCTCGTCTTACTTTAAATTATTGGGTTTATTGATAAGGTAAGTAATACATTGACTGATTAACTACAACGGGGTGATTGGCAACAGATATTGAGAGTTGAATTTTATGACATCTATAAGTTACGTTACAACCAACTTCTTCTTTAGTTTCTTTAAGTTTTATATAAACATTTAAATTAAGGTTTGATTTTTTTAGCAGACATATTAAAGGTACCATTAACAAAACATGCATGTCACAAAACTTTCTTTTGGTTTTGGATCTTATGAAAAAGGGAGAAACATGAAAAGCCAATATTTATGTGAATGCTTTGTTTGCATTATCACTTTTTATCCTTTCACTGAGATTGTCGGGTTACGTTTCTAAGTAGTAAATTCAGTCTCTCCCCATCTACATAGAGGATTTGTTACTCTTTTTATTAACTTAGAATCGTCAAGATAATCACAGAATCTAAACATTTCATGATTTTCAATTTTTTAAAAGTCTCATCAGTAAATCTTCCTTTTCTTTCTATGCCACGTACTTATTTAGTATCATATCATCTTTTTTCTTGGGTAAAATTTTAGTATCATATCGTTATTCGTATAATATAACTTGTAGCCTAAAACCATTACAACATAACCTGCTTCGAATATGTTTGTGTCTTCTCCAATCTCAGTTGTAGCCATCGACTGCATCAACATATTTTTGTTTATCCTTCAATTCTTTCGAAATTTGCTGGTACGGTAATAACTAGTAAGTGCTAAAAAGCCAAAACCATCCTCTCCTGTAGAATATTTGGTTTATTTTCGGGTAAATCCTGGTTCACATTAGTTTTCTTACTCAGACAGTCGGACTATAGGAAAAACACGTAACTGAATGAGTGGACCCATTGCACCGCCCAATGTCCACTACCTAAATTAAATAAGAACTCGTATCTTTTCATTAGCATTCGTATCAAATTTAGTTATTCGGCCTTCCGATATTCCTTTGTAATATTACTAATCTTTTTTTTTTTGATCAATAATATTACTAATCTAGGTTGGCATTAGACTGCAATCTAGGATTAGAACCTGGCTCAACTTCGATTTGACTAGTTTCAAGGGTAGACACAACCATCAATATGTATTGTCTTTGTCTACCTGATTTTCAGTTGAAGAGGGACCTGACCAAGGTACAGTTCAATTTTACAGAAATAAGGATTACACAAACAGCTTCCACTACAATATATCTGCCATACATTTGTTCTAACCGAACCCAGAAATAAAATTCAGACTCCACACTCTTTTTGACTACATCACGTATGTTTATATTATAACTTTTAGGTGTTGAGTATGATTTTGTTATATATTTGTCGTGTTCTAGTAAGATGACTGCTTATAACTTTATAAGTGGTTTAGTCAAATTAGCGGCACATATTGGAGAGAGGGAACATGCTTTTGAATATTGTAATCGAATTAAAACTGCTATTCCCACTTTAATTTTTGTTTCACTAATATTATCAGCACAAGTGGAACCATGTATACATATAGAGATAATTACAACTCAA